TGTAGACACAAAAGCCTGCAGGTCGCAGTAGAACCCGGAACAGCTCAAAGTGCCTGGCAGAAGGAGCCCACAGGATGGAAAAAAGGACAGGACGATACTGACTCCTTGCAGTAAGCTTCTCGTACCAGGTTTCTGAGCTGAGCGGTCATCTCCTCTTCTCCTCGGCTTCTGTCCATCCTTCCCTTCCTCCGCGCCTCCTGCAGAGCGGTCCTCTTACCCTGGGGCTGGCCAGACGGCTTGGAGCTCTTCTTCTGAGGGAACGAGAGACCACGAGCGGTCAGAGAGATAGCCAATCACCCCAGTAAGGGTGTATCCCCGAGCTGTCCAGTCACAGCCTGACAGGGCCAAGCTGGACCGTCCTGTGGGCCGGCCAGCGCTTCAGACAAGCCAGGATGAGACTCTCTGTGCTCAGCTAGCTCTTATCTGTCCCTAAGGACAAACCCCTTAACCCCTTGCACAAGCCATTAATCGTTGACATTTTATTAATACCAAACCACAGGACACATAATGTGACTGAGCTCGGACAGACACGGCGCAGTCTTCTTTATTATTCCGATCTTCTGTTTCACGCCTTCCGCACACGAGATCGGCTGCTGGCACCCAGACAGAATTAAAAGAGCGACAGGTAATTGCACCCAGACAAGATTAATAGACCGACAGGTAAATGGATACACAGATGAACAGAATGAGCACTGAACTAAATGTATCGAAATAAAAAAAACAAGCAGGAAAAATGAAAGGGGAAAAAAGTCAAATGAAGCTGAAAAAATGCAAAGAAAAAGAAAAGACTGAACAGAGTTGGATGGCTGACCGAAGTGCAGGGCTGGTATCTCCGCTGGTCCGCAGGCGGTACAGGGCAAGAGCAGAGTGTGGAGTGTGGAGCCAGATCACAGCATCTTTAAACAGCTCCGTCTCAGACACACACCTGAGCTACACGCCCCTGCCCCTCCGGCTTAGTGCACCACAGCCAAATGACATTTAAAAATTAACACAGCTACAGCGCCGAGGGCTATGACTGGCACCGTGCCCAGTGACACACAGGGCAACATCAAGAAGCTCTGGTGCAGCTGGTGCACGGCTGGACCTGGCCTCAGCTCCACCCTCAGTGCAGTGCTGCCACTGCAGGAGAGGATCAGAGAGGTCACAAAGTCCGGTTCCACATTAGCAGTACGGACACGCAGTCTGCCCCACGATCTCCTCTCTGCGTCCAAGAGAAACCCGCTCCTGCTCTCAGTGCCTGAATCTCCTGCTCAAGTACGCTGGGGTCGAAGTGGAAACCTCACCCCATCAAAGAGCCCTGATATAATGTAATTACAACGTAAAATGTAACTGACATGACATAAACACATCAACTTTAGGTGCATTACTTGCCTTTACCAAAGGAGAGAAATGAGGAGGAATGCCGGCGTTACTGTGTCCGGTTACTAATTGATCCCAGGATCTCATCCAGCTGTTCTCTAAAAGAACACCACAGTATCGGCTTCAACCACACGGCACGCGAGAAAGCGCACTGGAGCCCTTCTCGTGCAGAATTTTTACATGACTAGACCACTGTGCCATCTTTTTTCAACCGTGGAGTATCCCCACGGAACACTGTTCTTTCTAAACGCAAACACCAGCCCTCGTGTGTCCCCTACAGAAGCTATGAAACCATGGCATAGGTAGCAGATAGCCTGGGGGGGAGAAAGCCGTCACTGGATCCAAACGACAAACACAATCTGACAAGATACTGTATTCATTATTGTAAACCTATACGTTATGAGATTGTAGGAAACGATTTCTACAAGGGTAGAAACCAGGAGATTCTCTAGCATTTCCAAATTCTGGGAAAAAGGCAAGTCCTGCACCTGTGTCAGTGAGAAACAAGCATTCAATCCTTAAATCTTTCTCAGGGGCTTTGCGTGGAAAGGGGTCAAGCTCTCAGCCACCTGTACTTTGTGCAGCCTTCATTCCTGGGCCTCGTGCACCCCCTGCCCTCTCCACCTGCTCCGCCTTCACACACTCCCTCTCCGGCAGAGCTCCGTCCTGGAGTTACCTGGGCCTGCCTCCCGGGCCAGACGTGGCTCGGCCACCAGGTCTCGGGGCAGAGTGCCTCTACAGCAGCGGAGCGTTTAACGAGCAAGCGTCTGGAAGGGCAGAGCTATCCGTCAGCCAGGGTCGGGCAGGGGCACAGGGGAGAGCCAATGAGAGGGGCTCACACAGACACGCCCCCACACAGTCCCCTGCTAGCCACCTCCCTCAGTTTGACCTTCACATTCTAATTGTCATCGGAATTAATTAGTAACTGTGCACTCTACACAGCCCTGTCTCACCACAATGAGAAACTGCAGAGTAGCCGTTACATGATCAAGCACAAAACTCCCCATCCATGACGGGGACACTATACTGTAAAAAGGCGCTGTCCTTCGGATGAGACGTAAAGCCGAGGTCCTGAGTTTTTTTGGTTATTAAAAATCCCAGGACGTTTCTTGAAGAGATCGGGTGTTACCCTGGCGTCCTGGCCAAATTTCCCCCTGGCCTTTACCAATCATGGCCTCCTAATAATCCCCATCTATGAACTGGCTTCATCACTCTGCTCTCCTCCCCTTGAGAGCTGCTGTGTGGGGAGAGGACTGGCGCACTGGTGGGGGTGGAAGGGATCCCCATTACCTGTAAAGCTCTTTGAGTGAAGTGTCAAGAAAAGCGCTATATAAACACTGTGTGAGAAATTATTAAGAGAATGATGGGCTCCCCTGAGTTACACCTCTTCCTCAGACTGTGCCACGCCCACCTACCTTGGATGAGGAGCCTGGGGACTTGGGGGAGTGGGAGGAGCCTCGACGAGACCCCGCCTCCTCGGGATTGGGTATGGAATCCATGCTGGGACAAACTTCCTCAGGCACTGGTTAAAGACTGCAGAGCATTTAAAAGTATTTATACAGGGTTTTCATTCAGCAGCTCACGTACTGACACTGATGACTCATAGGGGGTCATTTCTGCGTGGGTTGTATAACAGTTTGTAGTTTGTAGTTTTTAGTTTCTAGTTTCTGAGGCAAAGCATGGATTTCCTTTCCTATAGTTGCATGACAGTCTGTGAGTTTAGCTAAAAAACAAAAACTTATTTATTATTTCAACATTACGCTCCCACCAGAAAATAAACATTCTGAAAGATTCCCAGAGTTTGAATTACACTGTCTGGCCACGTTACAAAAGAACCGAACATAAAGTTCACTCAACGGCAGCACAAGTGACTCTTCCTACTGAATTAATAACTTGAATATGTCTGTAGAATGCTTCTCAAATTCGTTACTGTAAGGCGGAACACAAAAGCGCTCGATCTTAAACAGTCCAGTCCGGGGTGTTACTGCTGTACTCATTTACTACTGTAGCCAAAGCCACACGAGTTTTATAAATAATTAAAATTAGATTGAAATTGCGGCTAATAGCCACATATTTACGTGCATGTTGTAACCCAAATAAAGACAATCATCAATAACAGTATTCGAAAAGAAACTGTAACGGCTAAGTGGGAAGTTAATTAAGCTACTTCAAGTGGACCTTTTCTGAACTGACTGCACATTTTAGTTCTCGATTTGTCGCCAAGAGAGACATTTTCTATTACGCTCCTACGGAAAAGCCGAAACAGTGTACTGTTTTATAGTTTGAATTGCTTACAGGTGTGCTTTCTTCAAATCGCAGATGAACTGCCGAGACGCTTCAATCTTCATTCAAAAGTCGCTGCGCTCAGCCGCTCTCCATCCTCAGACAGACACCCACCGGGGCGCCGGCTGATGACGTCATACTGCCTACCTTCGCAATGCTACCGTTTTCCTCGGTATTTGGAGACGCGGATCACGGTGTCACATAACTGGAAAGGGAGGCAGCTTTTATTACTGTTACAAAATAAACGATAGGGTGTTGTCACATTCAGTTTTGCGAATGTGAAGCTTTTGGCGGGACTTTTTTTCGTCAAGCCAATAAAAACAGGTCCGAATCAAATTGTAATTGGCTCCGCTAACGGTCGGTAGATGTCGCCCAAACTACATCCTGCAACTCTGCAGCAGAATTCGCCACAAGCCTTAATCACCAATCTAGTGGCTACAGTCTGTTGTGTATTAATAGTAACAATGCCAGAAATGTCCCTCTACACTGCAGGGGCCTATAAACATGCTTTTCATCAGGATAGAGCAATGGAGAGCCCATCCTGGTGCAAAGTTAGGGCAGAGCAGACCTCATGATGATGGGCAGCACCCCCACTCCCCCTCCCAAACTCTAATGCCTCCTACCAGCAGTAACTGTTACACAACAGCAGCCCATGAGAGGCAGGGAGTCTGAGAACAGGCCGGGACTGCGATGGAAGAGATAGCCAGGCTTTGAAGGGAGAGCAGAGAGCAGCCGGCCCTGCGTGGTGATAAGGCCTGGGGGGTCGGGTAGGCCAGCAGTGGGCGTGAGGAAGCTGGGGGGGTGGGTATGAGCTCATACTAGAGCTTGGGGACTGGACTGGCAGGCCACACTCCCTCCACACAAAGGCCCTTGTTCCCTTATAAGCACACAAAAGTACCAGACAGCTCTATATCTGATGCAATAGAGGTCTGTTCGGAAAAATAGAGGAAAAGAAAATATGCCCTTCTCCCTTCTGCATTTTCGTGTTCTTCTTCTCTATTATTTGTTTAGAGGAGACATTTAAGAACTTGAATACCATATTGGTCTTTGGAAATTTTCCTCCTTTCAAGAACATTTCATGCTCTTGAACTGTTAATTCTTCCCCTTCCCCTCCCTCCTGGACGTGTCCGTGCATTTGAACTGGATATTGCCCACAGACAGAAAAATCCTGGCCCAGATCCTACATCGAAGCAGAATGCTTTTAAAAGTCATCTTATGCCCAGTCAGAACAAAACCCACGAGAGCCAGCGACTCTGTCCGCAGAGAGACTTGGCCACCCTGACCCCTGAACCTTGACCTCTGGCCTGCAGGGGTCACCCAGAAGACCCTCACACAGGGACATTGATGCATCAGCTTCGCATCAACATCCCCTTTGCTTATTTTCAGCCACCATTAATCCTGCAAATAGTTCCCTGATGGAATTCCAGCTACTTCCAGCTAAAAACATGACACCTTTTTTTTTTCCAGCGGTGGTTGTACAGTAGCTGCTAAGTTGTTTTGGGCCCTTTTAGACATATTATACCCCCCTGTCCCAGAGTCTAATGGGCTTGGACCCTCTTGTCCCCTCTTTGGCTCTCTGCAAGGAGAGGCGAGAGCCACACCACACTGCGGCCTCCTCCTGGCGCTGCGGGGGCCAGACAAGACCCCCAGCTGTTTCCAGCCCGGCGGGGCGGGGGCTCTGGGTGTAGAGCACTCTGGAGGAGAGAGAGAGAGACGGAGTCACTGCGTCCGCTGGGGGAGGGGGTGTAGGAAGGGATGGAGCGGGGGCCATGAGCGCACAGCAACTGTAACAGACAGCGGGAGAGGGAGAGACGGATTCAGGCTCCAACGGATGGGCCCGTGTGTCCGCTGGGCCCGGGGCTGTGGTTGCTAATCTCTCGCCCTCATTCGCTGCCGCTTCCCGAGCCCCGCGAGATAACCCTGTCCGCAGGGCAGAATTTCTTTTTTTCAAAAACCCCGACCCGTCTGCCGTGCTGATAAACGAATAAACCAAACCACCGCCCCCCTCCACGCGCACACACAACGGTGCCTCAGCGTGCCTGCGTGGCCTTTTTTTCATGAAGGTCCGGAAAACCAGAAGCCTGCTGCGTTGCACAATGGGGCTCCAGCCAAGGCGTCAAACCGGAGAGCATGTGGTCAGCAGCTGTCAGGGCGCTGGAGAGAAACAGGCCTCTTTTTCCAGCCTCCAGCTGCACAGATGGCGGGAGAGAAGAGACAGAGGAAGGCAGCAGGGCTCCAGTGGGCAAGCAGGCAATGCCATTGCAGGCCAGACTGGATTCCCTCACCCCCCCCCCACAGCTCCCCAGTTTACTGGGGCACCCCAATTTCCTTCACTGCAGTCCCTCATATTCACTCCCTCCTGTGCAGACCCATCATGCTGCTTTCTCACATTCTGGAGTGTCTTGGTGATGTTCAGATGAGCAATGCACAGCTTGATTCCAGTGACTGCCACCAACTCTTCCCAGGACTGTCTTCTCACCCCCAAGAGCACCCAAACCCTGGAAGATGCTGCACCTTAGTCCGGAGCACTAGTGATGTCATTTACTGTGGCCAGACTGGGGCACAACCGGAAGACAGCCTGCGACACTACGATATCTGCTGAGGGCGCACTGGGATCCGTTACGGGCCGGCAGCAGTTTCTGGACTGGCTCGAGGGTGACTCTGAAGTGAAGAGGAGGGAGCAGTCTGAGAGAGGGGTCTGGAAGCTGGGAGACTAGCTCTAGGCAGCGGAGAGCTGACAAGCACGCATAGGGGTCCTTAGCTCAGCAGGTGCGGTCACAGAGGCGTCCAGCGGGAATGCCGGATGCATTGGAAAGCTATCAATCCTCTCTCCTTGGGCTTTCATTCTAGTTGCACCTGGCATAGCTAAAAGACTACTGCTTTCTAGGTCAATACACACCAGACTCCAGAAATGACACAAAATGACCTCAAATGATCTCAAATTCCCCTACGCCTCTCCCAGCACAGGGGCTCCAGTGCTTTGCTCTCAGCAATTAATTAATTAACTTAGAGCTCATCTGGAACAAATATCAAGACATCCATCAGCCTTCAAAGGACAGTGTGCCCTTCATGCAAACGTCACACACTTAGTTGATCAGTGGCTGAAACACATGTTCCTCATCTTCAAATAACAGGAGAATCCGGGTGACCAGTAAGAATAACTGGATTGGGGATCTGCAGGACCTGGGTTGGGGACCCCTGCTTCAGAGTGTGAATTTGTCCACCGTGCTCCAGCAGGGAGACTGTCCTCAGAGCCTGGAGGCCATTTCTGTGTTTGTGGGGGCAGTGGAGGAGCTGGCCAGCTGTTTCTCTCTCTGTTTGACACATCGGTTTTCAGGGGTTGAAGCAGAAGCCTGAAATAGAGCCATCACAACCCACAGCCCTCGTCCCCTCCCTCGCTGACCCTGGGCTGTGTGGGACTCATGTCAACCGAACTATGCAAATCATTTTTTATTTCTGTTTTTCAGTCTATTTTTCGTTTGTAGATTTATTTTTAAAGGTGTTTTTTTTTTTCACTGCCCAACAACATCTGGCTGTCTCAAAACGTTTTCTCGCAGAAAGAGTTAATAAGAAAATAAGAAGGTGCTTAGAAATAGCCCTGCAATGAATAAGAACACTGCTGTGTTGGACAGAGAGTACATCAGAACACATTGTTTTAGAATTTAAATCAAGAGATATATGTTAGAATTGTATAACACACCAGGAAGACTTAATTTAGATAACCGCAGACAATTCTGGTCACCAGGTTGTAGAAAAGGTATCTGGAGTCAGTCCAGAGAAGAGAATCCAGAAACATTCAAGGGCTTGAAGGGAAAGTCCTGCACTGACAGGCTGAAGGAACCCAGCCTTTGTCAATTTGCACCATGAACCTAATATCCACAATCCTCAGAGGCACCGACAGAGTCAAAGCCAGTGGTTTTCTCCAGAATAAGCAGAAAGGCACGCACCAGAAGGAGTTCACACCAGTGGAAACTGCATGGAAGGGCATCCAAAGCTGAGAACAGGAGGCACTTCTTTTCACAAAGGGTGGTGGGAGTGTGGAACAAGCTGCCCAACCCATGCTATTGGGTCTGATACCCTCGTTGCTTTCAGGAATGGGCTGGATGAGATCAGTTCTGAACAAAGGAGCCAAACAGGCTGAATGATCTTCTCTCGTCTCTAGCTCCTCTGTTCGTATTTCTCAGTAAACTAAGGGCCCTAGGGGCTGAGGCAGTGGTTCCCAGTCCCTGCCCCGGTGACCCACACTCCTGCTGGTTTGTGTTCTAGACGAACCCACAGATACACCATCAAACCCTTCACTGACTTAGCACTAATCAGATGAATCTGAGATGTTTGTTCCCAGCTCTTCAACGTCGTAGTTTGTAAGTGCAACAAAACCCCAAACTTGTGACTAGGAACAAAACGCAGGTACTCAAACGAAGCAGCTTCTCAGATCAAGGAAGGCTTCAGCTGTCTAATTGAAGGGGCGCTGGAGTGAAAACCAGCAGGTTTGTGGGGCTCACCGGGACCACGCTTGGGGACCACTGGGTTAAGGCAAGGAAAAGAGACCAGGAGGCTCACAGACTGAGCCTGTATCTCACTCCTCTTCTTTTGGGAGAAAAGTCAGACTGGATTTCTGTTGACAGTGACTCTGCCTGCCTTCCTCTTCTTAGGCTCTGTAGGGTGCTTTCATAAAGGTGTCTGCTCAAATCCTGGTCCTGCGGGGGGCAGTCGGGGTGCCTGCGGGCTGGTCCTGCGGGGGGCAGTCGGGGTGCCTGTGGGCTGATCCTGTGGGGGACAGTCGGGGTGCCTGCAGGGGGGCAATCGTGGTACCTGCCGGCTCCCTGTGGGAAGTGTCTGCTGTGCCTGCTGTCTCCTGTGGGAACCTGAACCCCAGTCCTGCACCCACCACCCGTCTCCACTCTCCCCACCCCTGTACCGCGCACCCCATCTCTCACCCCCAGAGGAAGGCTGAACCCCAGATCCCTGTGCCCCTGTGTGCACTTTCACATCCATACCCAGGCATTGTCTGCCTCTTTAGCCAACTCAGGGGTAACCGGAGCCTATCCCAGCAGGCAACAGGCACAAGGCACGGTACGCCCTGGACAGGACGCCAGTCCATTGCAGGACACACACAAACTCACACCAGGCCCCG